CTAACTCCACAGTGTTACTGTCATCTCATAGGGCTGCTCCCCCATAGCAGCTGCTGGGTCACTGTCACCCCATAGGGTTCCTCACTCCATAGGGTTGCCCATCCCATAAGTTCACACCCCCCACAGTCACTGGTGCAGTGCAGGCACTCTTTGGGGTGCTCACCCCACTGGGGTTGGTGCATTTGAACCTCCCCATGGGGGCACTTGCCCCACAGCACCACCGACACCCTGTATTGGGGTGTTCACCCCCCGGGGCTGGGGCACTGCCCGGGGCTCCCCCCGTGGGGTCAGTGCTCCATGTCCCTCTGGGGCTGTGCCCTGGGGCCACCCCGTGCTGCCCTGACCCTCTCCAAACAGTTTGCCTGTATTTGAGCTGTCCAGCAGAGGATTTGATCGGGTCCCCTGGCTGGTGACATCAGGAGGCAGATGTGCCGCCCTGCCAGATGTGCTGCCACTGCCCAGGCTGTCCCTTTCTCTGTCCTGTGCAGCCACAGCCAGTGCAGCAGTGAAACCTCTGGATCTGCCCGTCTGGAATTGCAGCTTCCACCACGTGGTGTTTTGTGTTTGGTGCTGCCAGTCCCACCCAGGTGGGACAGAATTCTCCTGTCTGGTCCTTCTGTGGTTTTACTGGTTTAGTCTGGCCTTGCTTAAAAAATTACCTTGCTTTGCAATGTTGAACAGCTGGGATTTGGGGATAGGAGGGCTTGGAATTTTTTAGGGAATGTGTTGGTAATTTTTTTTCGATGGAACAAGCGTCCTGGATACTTTCTTTCTTTCGCATGCCAGAAGAGTGTTGGGTGGGTCTGTTTAACTCTGTGCCTCTTGGCCATCACTGGCTTCAAATCCAAGCTGTGCATGAAATTCCTTATAAATAAATGGGCTTTTAATGGATGCATGGATTTTACAGCCTCAATATGTGTGGAGAGAGAGAGAGAGAGAGATGCTGCCAAGGCTGGCCAGTAGCTTTTGCTTCTGCTCCCACGTTACTGACAGGGCTGGTTTTGCTCTTTCTGGGTGTTTATCAGTTAATATGTGTTGGTCGATATATTTGCAGTTATTCCCATTTTTTCCGTTAAAGCTCTTCCTGATGGAAAATACATGTCTGTGGATGCGCAGGGTCCCTGTTCTCTGTGCTGAGCAAAGCCTTGGAACCTGGATTTTAATTGTCCTTGAGCTTGTGTTTTCCCTCCAGGGTGCAAATAACCATTAGCACCCTTTACAAAGAGGGATGCAGGTTCTCCCAGTGAGGTGATGGATCGATGCTGGGATTTGTTTTTTGCTTGATGTGAATTATCCCGGTAAATGCAGCGAGCAACCAAACAGCACATGGGTTGACCCCACTTTCCCTGGGTTATTGTGGTTATTTTATCCCATTTTGGAGGCAGGAGGGGGGTTGCTCTTTCCCTAGTTTCCAAAGGCTCTTCCTAGCACAACACCCGTGTGTATAGAAACGCACATATATGTATGTGCATCACTCCCCTGCCAGGAGGAGTCAGAGGTATCCAGGACACCAACTAGGTGTGTGTCACAGAGA